AATTCATTTTTTTAAAAATTAACATTAACTTTCTAAAACATCAGCAGGTAAAGTGTTGTGAAGCTTCATCCACTAAATACTTGGACAAAATATTTATAATTGATTTGGAATAAAATGCAATGGAAAATGCGGAAGACACATGTAAAAAGCTGCAGTACCATTGCGGAGAACTTGAATTAATTAAGAAGTAGCGCTCCAATGATGCGAGCATTTCTGAAGCCCAACACATGGAGGGCAGCAAAGAGAGAAAAGCCTTGCTCCCAGGTTGCTGTGCGTTTTCTTGTGTTTGACATCAGCATTGTCAAAGGACTATAGAGCGGTTATTCCATCTATGTAAAAACAGTAGAAAATTTGGCAACTTTTATTCTGAACAATAGAATGTCACAATTTTTTTCCGACGCATGGACAACTGATTTGTGGACTACAGCCAATCCCCAGGACACTCCTGCTCTGTAGGTTTCTTAATTTAGAAAGAATATTGTTCTCAGATGATGCGGTACTCCATCAATACTTGAATTTGTTATTATCACCACAAATACTACCACCACAATTTTGCTTTCAGCTCATTGCTGACACAAGCATTCGCTTGCAAAACAAAAACCGTTGTCCAACAGTCAGATAAATGAGTGGTCATAGACGGATGAGTAAGTAACCAACCCTGTAGCCAGAATGGGCAGACTGCACCCCTAGCTCAACGGTGGGACTGCTGGACTTCCATTTCCCTGCTCCGATTCTCTGCTCCTCACCTAGAATTCCCACAGTTCCCGCCCATCCAGCCACTGGTGACCTGCTGACTCTGTGCCTCTTGCAGTCCATGGTGAAGGCCATGGCACAAGTGGCTGGTCCACCAAAGGGCAGCGGTACCAGTGCCTCCCCACCGGTCCTGGAGACCAGAGGACACAGCCATCCCTAGCCACTTCCATCTGAGCACACGTTGGTTTATCAGCGAGCACCCTTCGAGTGGTCATTGCAAGAGGCTATCACTTAAGTTCTGTCTGAAAAGGGCCAGGAAGCGAGACATATGTTATCACGTAATCAACATTCCAATTTAACCCTGTGTCCAGGGGTTCTGCTTATCACTGGTGATGGTTTTGTCAAAAGAGCACAACCCATGGACTGCCCTCCGCCCCCGGTGAGCTGGTCGGTGTGGAAGCACTGCCCTGCTTGGTGAGCGGCTTTCTTCCTCGGCTTCTTCAGCCTGGAAACTGGCTCGGGAAAGAGCAGAGGCCATGCCACCCTGGAGATGGTGAGAGTGAGACCTCCTACCCCACTGCAATGTGCCCGTGCCTTAAAAATTTGGGGGTTCCTTCCCTAAGTGAGCTGAAGGGTACATTCATCTGTAGTGAACTTATTTTTTAAACGTGAGCTCATTTTGAAGTCAGAGCTGATGGTCTTTCTTCCTGACCTCAGAAGGGTGGAGGGAGCCCATAGACAAGCCCACCAGCCTGCAGGTGGCCCCCCTGTTCTGTCCCCAAACAGCAAGGATGTCTTGCTGGGGTTGGGAGATGAGTGAACTTGGTGAGGGAAGACTTCCTGAAGGAGGTGACACAGTAAATTAAGTGTCCTGAGTCCAGCCACTCTGGATCTTTCTGTGAAAGCTTTGGAGGCATATTTGTGGAAAAGAACAAGAACTTGGCCTCCCTTGCCTCCATTTCCTCTCCCCTCCTGCCCCAGGAGGGCCTAGAGAACCAAAATTCCCCACAGAGAGGTCCCAGCTACTGCCCCTCCTTCTCTCCCAGCCCCAACCTCTGCAGAGCTCTGGGGAGCAGGAAGGCAGGGCCTCTTGTATATCCAGGGCAATAGTCACACGACTTTATAAATCAAAATAGACAACTTGGCACTCTGAGGCAAAACTTCCATTTAATCATCCTTCGGCCCTACAGGTCCCAGTGGCTCCAATGGGTGGATGGTTAAGGCCAGTTATAGCAAGAGCAGCTGGTGTCAAAGACCAGGCCCGCCTGACAAGCCTCCGCATAGGTGTGCCCCCCCCCCCCCCGCCTTACGCAGTTGTAGAAGGCCCGCCTGCTGGTGGGGCTGGGGTAGAGACCGTGGGACTTCTGAGAAGGCTGTCTGAGCTGGAGCTTGGGTGGGTTGTTGTGTCCCAAGAGATAATAGGGCCCTTCACACAGCAAGTGTCTAGGCAAAAAGGTAGGGTTCCAGACGGGGAGGTATAGGGTCAAGGGCCCTGGGGTTGGTAAGCAGAACCGCCTGGACACAAGCATCTAAAGGCCCGTGGGTCTCTGCCTCCTGGTTTTGGTTCAGCCTGTGTACAAGGAGATTTGCTGGAAGCAGGGGAGGAGCAAAGGAGAGGAAGAACTCTGTTTGACACCGTGCTCCTCGGAGTGGGGCAGAATGTCTGCCTTGGAGAACTGCTTCAGGGCCAGAGCAGTGCAGGGAGGGGACCAAAAGGGAGTCTGCAGGAGTAGTGGGGACAGGAGTGTGCAGGAGTTGAGAGAAGTAAGACCACCAAGTGCAAGTACACAGGAACAGAGGGGGCATTCAAACTGCCAGCTCTGCAGCGGGCTACTGGCTCAACCTAAAGCCCTGCCTTCTCTTATGTGTCTCTTGGGACTGTAATTCAAATGCTCTTGGAGGGCAGGTGCCCTCCCCCTTCCAAATATGTAGAGGGAAGGGTGCAGAGGGCCTCACCTTGAGGGCGAAGCTCTTGGGCTTGCCATACCCAATCCACTGGTTCCCCTGGTAGGCGTAGGGTACATCCTGGGGGGCGTTCTACACCTCGGTGGCTCCTCTCAGGAAGGAGCAGACCTGTGGCCAGTTCCAGAGGATGGTCATGGCTCAGGTGGCCCCTCCTCTGCTCGGCCCACCTCTTCCTACTCCTTGTGTTTGTTTTCTGGATGTACATCCCACCCCACCCCTCTGTGCTGGAAATAAGAACGCATGGTTCCAATTTCATCCCAACTCCCTGGCTCTGCTTCCCTTCCAGCTGCGCAGGGGCGAGGGCCCTGGCTGGAGGTGAGACATGAGTTGCTGTCCTGTGTCTGGCAGCAGCCATCTGTGAGACAACGGGCAGTGCAGCTTCTTGGTGCCTTGTCCCGGTTCCCTCTGAAATGAATTTACCTGTTTTTATCTGAAAGGTTTCTCTCCACAAAGAGCCAACACTGGGATGAGAGTATAAGGGTTAGGGCTGGGAGCTTGAACAACTTACCCCCTATTTTCCTGTATATAATGCACACTTTTCTGCCCAAATTTTTAGGGGAAAATGCGGATGCACATTATGAGTTGGTACAATGGTTACGTACCATAGGCATAATAACCCTTGTGTATAATGCGTGCAAAAGATGGGTGCACATTATACACAGCAAAATACGGTAGATTTGAATCCTAGCTCTGCCATTTACCAGTTCTGCGACTTTGAGCAAAGTTCTTAGCTCCTCTGCCTCAGTGTAGCCTCTTGCATGACAGGATAAAATCAGCACCTCATTGTTCATGGGGGGGGTCAGAGAAGATAGTAGATAGAAGTCACTTAGAACAGAGCCTGGGTGTCCACTTGCTCTCAGTAAATGTTAACTGCTACTGGGATTAAAGATGCACATTGACTTTAAAAGGTTAAAATTTAAGATGCCTCATCAATCGGTCACTCTACCCTTCCTTCCCAACCATGTATACTCGGAGAAGTCAACACGGGATGCCCTGTGTTAGAATCAGGGTGTCTCCTCCCTCTTCATGGAGGGATCTTCATGGATCTTTAATCCTTTAGAACAGAGAGAGTGGCTCTCCCAGGTGTCCTGGGCCCTCTGGGACATTACCTCAAAGTAGGCAAGAGTCCCAGCTTCCTGAGTATATGGCCCGGCAGTCCCCGGGCCACAGGTGGGAGCATCCAGGCCGTGGTCAGGAGGGTGAGTGAGAGGGAAGGTCAGGGCATAAGCCCCGAAGCCCACCATCAGCTTCTCGGCGAGGGCTCCTTGGTTCTTCCAGTAGCTCATTGCATAATCCTGGGGACGAGGGGAGGAAGATGTTATTAAGTAGCAGCAGAACATGTCCCAGGGGCCTGTGGAAAAGCCTGCACTTCCTACCCAATTGTCTGGCCACTTTAAATATCCCATGTGGTCAAGCCAACTTCAGAGGAAGGGAAGGAACACCTTCCCCGCTAGACCTGGGAGTTAGAGGCACCTCGGTCGAGAGACACACAAGTTAGGTGGTGAATCTGGCCCAGTGTCAGCTGGGAACGAAGGGTTCTCCTGCCCTCCTGCCCCTCATTTTGGGCCGGGCATTGGTGACACAAGTGGAGTTCACCATGCACCCCCTTGTCCCCAGCCGGCAGCTCAGAATGTTCGAGCACTGGCTGTGGATCTGGGAGACCATCCCATACCTGTTTTTAATTTTTGGTTGAATTCACTGAAATCACGTCTAGCCAATTTACCCACCTATATGAATTGTTAAGTAGGTTCATTGTTACACCTGCCTACGCATTATAAGGTAGGAAGGTAAAGCTCATAGCATAGGGAGAGGGTGGAAGGGAGGTGAGGAAGAGTGGGGGAGAGGTGGGCCATGAAATGGGCTTCTAGCATCAATAGGTTTTTAAAAGTCTTCCAGCCCTAGCTGGTGCGGCTCAATGGACTGAGTGTCAGCCTACGAACCGAAGGGCTGCTGGTTCAATTCCCAGTCAGGGCTCACATCTGTGTTGCGGGCCAGCTCCCCGTTGGGGGTGTGCAAGAGGCAACCAGTCAGTGTTTCCTTCCCTTTCTTTCTCCCTCCCTCCCCTCTCTCTAAAAATAAATAAATAAAATCTTTTCTTAAAAAAGAAAAGAAGACATTTTCCATCATTTGAGACCAGCCCCGAAGCCACTGTCTGCCTTCTTTGGAATGAAAGATAAACAAATGCCATCAGTCACAGGGACAGGGAAGTAGGGAACACGAGCTGGGTTAGGAAAGACTGCCGTCTCCTTCCTGTCCATCAAGTGTCCTCGGCCAGAGACCCCATGGCCTGCTTCAAAGGCACCCAGTAGGACTGGCTGTCCTGAATCCGTCTCATCACTCACCACACTAAAGACTTTGTTGTCTCCCTGGTCACTGGGTCCTGCAAACAGGGGGCCGTTCTTGCCTGTGAAGCCCTCCCAGGAGCCCCTGAGGTCATAGGTCATCACAGTGATGAGGCGCATGTACCTTGGGTGGTTAGGGTTGGAGTACCACAGAACAGAAATGACCAATGGGAAGTCACGCTCTCCGCGACGCTCCCCCTAAAGCTCCTAGACCCTGTCAGATGTGTCGTTTGTAATTATGCCACACGGCAATTTCCCTTGTTATTCTTTATTCCATTCTCCCTCGCCTTGATCTCAAGGATACCTGACATACGAAGGCACACAATCCATCATCGATATAGAAGGCTGCGCTCAGACCTTCGGAACTGGTGGAAGTTAGAGACTCAGCTAACTTTCTCCAGTAGCCTCTTATCACTGAGAATCTCGGAAACAGGTTTGAAAACAAGCCCAGGGTTCAGGCTGGCTTCTCGTGTCGCTCAGGAGTCAGGATCATCTTATTTCTTTGGGAATGAGCCCTCTCTGTCCAGGATTCCTGGGCATTGGCCAGTCTATGGGGGAGGGACCAGGCTTGCTTAGCTCTGCCCGGGCTTCTGGGCTTGGGGCTGACTTACTTCGACATCTCAGGGGTCTGGTAGGCAGTCTCAGTGGTCCCTTTACCAGCCCACACAGCCGCAGAAATCAGCAACCTGGGTTCGTTACTCTGGGCAGCTTCTTGCTCAAATACCTCATACATTTCCTGCAGAACAGAGGACACTGGACTCAGGCTGGGGGGCCCAGGGAGCATGTGACAAGGTCCCATTCTTAGGAGGAAATCTGCCAAGTGCTTGGTTTAGAGTCCTTTGATCCCAAAACTGCCATTGGTCTCTGGGGACAGCAGTCAGTCGTCTCCCCAAAACTTGCAAATGAAGGAACATTGATGACTCTTTGAGAGCTAAACTTTAAAATGAACAAATAATGTCAAAGCAGGAAAGTAAGAAAAGAATGGTTATGTTTAGACCAAAATGGCTCCTAGCTTAGTAAACTATATGTGATTGAATCTAACAACCAGAAAACTCAGTCATGGAAAAAAAGGAAATAAGAGTATTAAAGCAAACCTTGGTGCTCAACCCAGCCGTGACCAGGGCAGGGGCCGTGCTCACCCAGTAACTTTATGTCTGGTGCTGGGGGCAGGAGCCCCCCGGGCGCTGGAGGTGTCCGCACCACCTCTCAGGGCACAGGGCCCCTGAACGCCTCGGTCTGTAGCTGGTCCATCTCGCCCTACGCCCTGCCCACTGAGGACTCTCTGACTTCCCACCGCTGTGCCTGTCCTGAGACAGGACATGAATGTTTCTGTCCCCTTGGCCATTAAATTTCTCACTGTAAGTATGATGCCACTCTTTGTAGTCTGGCCACGTGAGCTTTCCCTGAAAGAAAGATCCGATCTTGCACTAAGGAAACCAGGCATTGAGCCAGACGGCTGAGCTCTCTACCCTCTGCTGTAGCGCGGTCGGCCTCTCTCAGGAACCCCCACCAGACAGAGAGAGCCCTTCTCCCCGGATGGTTGTGGGCCCGCATCCTATGTTCTCTGGACACGGGCAGGGGGAGTCACCTTCAGCAGGACGGCGAGGAGTCACTGGGTGTCCCCGGGGCTGCCATGGTTGCTGGGATACTCCCAATCAATGTCCAGCCCATTGAAGTTGTACTTCCTCAGAAACCGGATGGCCGACTGGATGAAGGTGTGGTGGTTCTTGGCAGTGGCCACCATGTTGGAGAATCTGGGGTCAACACATCGCCATGGTCACAGTGTCATGGTCACGGTGATGGGCTTTGAAGGGCGGAGAAGGGCAGGGGAGCAGCTGGAGATGGAGAAGGGGGGTTTTGGGCCGAGGGCCCCTGCCCATAGCAGCCTCTTTACACTGAGGACTGGGACTCACCTTTTCTAGAACCAACTTCTCTCTGCTTTTCAACTCAAATGACGGTTCTCCCAAGCCGCCCAACCCTGTGTGTGCGGATGGCCCACTGACCAGTCTCCCTGGGCTGCCGGCCGGTTCAGGCACCGCCCTGGGGACAAGTTAGCGCAGGAGGAACTGCATTCGCTCTTGAAGGCTCTTCTACCTCCTCTCCAGCCCCCTCTCACCTGGCCCACAATGCATCGTCAGATAAAATCTGCCTCGTCCATTTTTCTTCTCTGCTAATTGCTCCCGTTAGCTGATTACTCCTTGGTCAAGTCCGTGCATTGAGCTCCTGCCCTGTGGCTGCCAGTGAGGGAGGGTCACAGAGAACATGAGAACGGAGGGGGCTCGCCCAAGTCTCCATCTTCCTCCGAGAGAGTTCACCAGTGTCATCCATCACCCCCCCCAGGAAGCCCTCGGCTGCTCAGTGGGCCCTTCCTTTCTTCCTGCCTCCCTCACTTCTTTCCTTCCTCCCTTCCTTCCTCACTGTGTCACGATCCCAAGGAGGCTGCAAGAGAGAACGGGGATGACACGGCGGCCTCGGAGCACAGAGAGTGCGGGTGGTGCACGGTGGAGAAAGAGCAGCTACTCTGGAAGCCGACCTGGGCCGCCTGGGAAAGACTCACCAGCAAGAACCAGCAGCTGGCCCATTTTGGCGGGAAGTCCTAAATGCGAGTTCCAGGCCTGGGAGAGCACCCAAGAGCTTTTTATAGGGAGCATGGCAGGCCCCCCCACCCTGCACCTGGCTCCCTCCCACAGGCAAGGGAGCTGGGACTAAAGGGGCAGCGGCGTTGCCTGGCTCCGTTTACCCTCTGACTCTCATCTGTTTTCCTTGTTGGGTAGCCAACCCGGGACACAATGGAGACGCCGTGAGAACAGTTTTAGAAGGCTGTCGACCTGAGGTACATTAGGGAAAATGGCATATCTGGCACTGGTATGATGCTGGCCTGGAGTTCAAAGTGATTTCAGAGTAGGCCCCACGTGTCAGAGAGACCAGCTGCACCCTAGGGGTGGAGTGTGGACCGGGGAGGCAGGCAGCCGTTCGGCCTGGCCACACCGCGTGGCTGACCCCACCCAAGCTCCAACTCCTCAGTTCTGTTGGGGCCACGGAGGTCAGGGAGCGTAGAAGCCTGGGAGGTTTCGGCAGGTTTGGAATGAGAAAGCATTACTTGCCGAGGTTGCTTCTGTCTCATCGAAGGCGTCCCGGTTGACAGAGGATGGAGGAAATTCACGGGGGGGGGGGGGGGGGGGGGGAGGGCAGACATTTCTAACGAGGCTTGGACTGAGAAGGGAGAAGCAGCGAGGCCCGGAACCAGGAGGCGTGTGAACCACAGAAGAGACGGCTGCAAAAGTGCCTGTGGATCGAGGCTGAGGATTGCAATGTTCTAGGACCTCCCTCCACTCCACTCCCAGCTTTACTACCCATACAGAAAGGGAGACACCTACAGGAAGCCCACCAGGATGCCACATCACACATGTCCAGACCACATCTGAGGGTCCCTCGGCTCTGGAAGGTGACAGGAGGAGCAAAGGCGTGGCCTGCTCTTCCCCACCGCCGGCCCGGTTTTACCTTGGGCAGGGACACCAGCCCCAGGCATCCACCCACACAGATTGTGACCCTGGTTAGGACAGAGTGGCACTGTGGGGGGCACTCCCCCCACTTAAAGACACACCCGCTGAGTCCTCAAGACTCTCTGAAAGGCACTGGTTCAGCCCCACGTAAGGACAACTTGGAGTCATGGAAAATTCAGGGAGGGGTCCTCCAGACGTCGGTACGTGTTACAAAGGATGATGGCGCTCCCAGGGTTACTGGTCACCCACAGCCTCCCCTGAGCCTCTTGGGGCCGTCAGCCCAGCTGACTTCTGGCTGAACCCATAGTCATTGGCTGCCAAGAACTTGAGGCCCTGACTAACTTGAACTGGACCCATCTTGAAAATAATAACAGCTCGTATTCATTTGGCAAATACAATGTGCCGGGAGCTAAACAAGAGGCCCCTGTCACCTTAATCTTCTGGACGTTTGCAAAGTAAATGGTTCTCTGCTCGCAGCAGGTACGAGGGATGATTCTTTAGAATTCAGGGCTTGGTGCCCAAGACACAGGACCTTTGATGGACTCTTGGGCTCCAAACAAGGCCAAGGTTAATGTCTTGGACCCCTGTCCATAATAGTCAACGTTACAACAAACACAAAAAATGTTTGTGATGTGGCAGCCACTAGCCTAAATGCTTTGCAATTAGTAACTTACTCCCTCGTGTCTCTGGGAGAGAGGCATTCTTATCGCCCCCATGTTACAGAGGAGAAGATTGGGGCACAGAGAAGGTAAGTAAATTGCCCAAGGTCACACAGCCAGTAGCTTAGTGACGGGCGGGGGTGGGAACCGAAACAATCTGACTCCAGACTGTGTTTTAAGGACTCCACCTTTCTGCTTCTTGAGAACATGATGACCAGAGGCAGCAGAGGACTGAGCCAGAGGTAGGAACCAGGGAGGTGCCCAAAAAATGCCTATCTCATAGTAAGGAGGTCCGAGCACTGGGCGGCATTCAGGGGCCCTGGGAACTGGGCTCCCCCAGTCTCCAGCGGTGCTCACCACCGCTGCTGTAGGGCAGGTATATCCAGGGTTTCCTCAGTCCTCAGAGAACGTCCGAAGCAGTTTTTAAATAAATCTCCTGGTGGTCCCACTCTTACTCCCCTCCGGGTCGAGTGGCCATCTCTCAAGCCCTCCCCTGCAGAAACGCTGGTGCTGCCCCCATTCTCCAGCTGTGTGATCTTGGGTCCCCTGAGCCCGTGAATTCACCTGTAAACTCGGCTTATGTGGCCTCCTTCCTATGCCGTGAGGATTAACAATTCACACGAAAGTGTTGTTCAAAGTGCAGGATAACAAAAATCATTTTTTTCTAGAAGGAAAGGATTGGAAGGGATGGGAAAACACAGAATTGACCCTGGAATTAAAGTGTGTGGGCCTCAGGCCGGGGTAGCCTTCGCCCCTCTGTGGCCCCGTGCTTGAGAGGGAAAGTGGCAGACTTTTCTGTCAAGGGCAAGAAAGCAGTATTTTAGGGTTCACAGGCCACGCTGGCTCTGTCTTCTCCTCCCTGCCACCGGAGAGAGAAAGCAGCCGCAGATGATGTGCGAACAAACAGGCTCAGCTGCGTTCCAACAGCATTTTGTTGACAAAGAGAGGTAACGGGCTGGATGTGACCCATGCAGTGTGCTGTCCCCTGCGTTTTTAAAAAGACTTTATTTAAAGCCCTGGCTGGTGTAGCTCAGTGGATTGAGCACGAGCCTGCGAACCAGACAATCGTGGTTCGATTCCCAGTCAGGGCACATGCCTGGGTTGCAGGTCGGTTCCCCGCAGGCCAGTTCCCAGCAGGGGACACACAAAACGCAACCATACATTGATGTTTCTCTCCCTCTCTCCTTCCCTTCCCCTCTAAAGATAAATAAAATCTTTTTTAAAAAAGACTTTATTTATTTATTTTTAGAGAGAAAGAAAGGGAGAGAAACCTCGATTGGGCCTGCAACCCAGGTGTGTGCCCTGACCGGGAATCAAACCAGCAACCTTCTGGCTCGCAGGCTGGCACTCAGTCCGCTGAGCCACACCAGCCAGGGTGCTGGCCCCCAGCTTTTAACAGTTCCACTCTGGCCCTCCTCCAGCTGCACCCCGACTCGCCATGAGGCGGGCAGACGGCAGGGCCAGCGGCACACCCACCCGGAGCCCCGTCCCTCCTCTTCTGGACCCTGACGGCAGACACCCAGGGTTCCTGCCTGTCCACCTGCGCTCACTTTCGGGGTGTGTACACCTGCCCACTTTTATTGCATTGTTTATGTTTTCTGTATTGCTGTTTAGGAGCTCTCCCTGGACTACATACATTTATCTGTTCTCTCTCCTATTTATTTTAATCTCTTCCCATTCTTTTTCTCACTTAGCGTTTTGTCCATATTGTCATTGTGCGATTTAAAAAATATTTCTTGTGGAGTTTAATCTGTGTCTTCTTTTGCAGCTCCTGCATCTAACCTGGGAAGGAGGTGCTGCGTAAGAAGTAGGATGAAGGAGCAGAGAACTCAATGCCGACAGCTCAGCAGGCGGATGGAACGGGACTGTGGAGGGTGGAAGGACTGCAGGGACCGGCCGGGACCAGGGCGGCTTCCTGCAGGAGGCGCGCTTCAGGGTCGGATAGAAGGAGGGCCTGGCGCAGAAGAAGTGTCAGAAACAAACCCTGAAGCCAGGTCTCAGGGGCAGGAACTCACGCCTGGTGAACAAGTGCGACTGATGAGAGCTCAGGGGCCTTCGGTGGAACTGAGAACTGCCAGGCGGGAAGGGGAGTGAGGGTGTCCATTGCTTGGTGGATAAGGACGGATTTGAGTGCCAGCCCCAGTCACCATGATATATTTACAGTCCTCAAAAGGCAAGATCCAGCCCTGGTCTAAACCCCAAGGAGGCCCCAAACTCTAAAAGGTGGGAAGATGATACAAGCCCAAGGTTTGGTTAGAAATGTGCTTTAGAGATTAGCTTGAGAAGGAATTTAGAACCCTGTCTTGCCACAGATAGAAATAAAAACGAAGGAGGCTTTTATTAGTGAGGAAACTGAGGCACTGTCACTGGTCCAGATGGAAGCCAGGGTCCAAGCCCCTCTCAGCACCACCCTTCATCCCACCCCGCACCCCCACCCTGCTGTCCCCCCAGGAGTACTCCGCCCCCACCCCACTCCCAGCCTAGACAGAGCAGTGACCCAGGAGGCCAAGGGGACATGGCGCCCTCTGGTGGTGACTGGTAGGCACCTACACACCTGCTGAGCACTGGGTTCTGGGCTTGTGTCC